AGCTATTTTGCTTAAATTTCTATAGTATGTAAAAGTGAAAAATGATGAAGACAAGGCACGCCTGTCTGAGTTTGGCTCCCGTAAGCTGCGCCCTGCCCTTTCCTCATACCCCTTCCAGTGGCTTCTACTAACCTTAAAGGGACTGAGGCACTGTGGCCACAGTCCCAGCCCTCAGAAACCCCTGCTCCAACTTTTCCCACTTCAGTTGGCCCTGAAACTTCACCTTGGGTTTTCTTTTTCTACTCTAGGACTGATATATATATTTAAAAAAAAAAAAAAAAAAGTGAAAACACCAATGTGTGAAATGCCTTATGATGCCCACTCCAGAAGGGCGGGCTGGGGGCGGTCCATGGGGCCTTCCCTCAGAGCTATAGAATGGAGCTTCCCAACACTTGTTTGTGAACAAGCAATCTGTGACCCCTAATAAAAACCCTAGGCTTTGGAGTTTTCCACTGTCCTACCCGAGTCTGTCTGTGGCTTGATGAAGGGGGCTACTTAAGCCAACAGGTGACAGTTCTGAGGCAGCATGGGGGAAGAATGGTAGGGCTCCGTTCTGCTAGGTCTGTGCCATGACGGCTGCCCAGGGTGGAGTGAACATCATTTATTACTAACCTAGGGGAAGGGTCACAACTCTGCAAGGCACCACCCTGATTGCACCCAGTCTGCCTCCTCCCAGAAAGGCAGTGAGTCGCCTGGAGACCTCCAGCAGCCCAGTCTCTCAGTTCCTGGGGCTATCTAGGATGGTGCCAAGGCACCCACAGCCCTCCATGAGTGCTACTGTTTAGATCCAGAATGTCCCTCCAAAGATGGCTGGCACTGTACTTATGGACACACTCATCCATTGGTGAGTTTAGTGGCTGAGTATCCTGTTGAGAAGTGAGGCCTGGCCAAAAGAGGAGGATCACTGCAGGTGTGACCTGGAAAAGGGTAGTTCTCTCCCTGGCTATCCTCTTTTCACCCTGCTTCCTGGCAGCTTTCTATTAGCAGGCTCTTCTCATGCTGGGGTGTTTTACAACCATCCATGGACTGGGAATTTTGTGTCACAGTTCACATCCTGGCACACCACAATGAGAGATTACTCAGAATCAATGTCCAATTCAAACTCTATTAAGCCCAGAGGAACTGACCATAATGGAGACCCCCCACCACCACCAAGCATAAGAGCCTCACAAAGACATCCCTGAACTGAAGCTTTTGTGGATTTTTATTGATAGAATGAGAAATCATGAATAAAGGACAAAAGGACATCTGCACAGGAATTCATATAGGGCACAGGGAAGGACAGGGTGGGCTATTATTTGATTGACCTTAGGGATACTCTAAGTCATAAATCACTGCAATTTATGAGTAAGGGGAAGAGAGGGCCAGAGTATTCATTCTTTTTTTTTTTTTTTTTTTTCATTCATTCATTCCTAAGGCATGTGTTTTGATCCTACTTAGACCTGTGGCCCTGTAGGCTATCTTTTAATCTCTAACCATGTGTTCTGGGAAATTTTGGATACGGCTCCAAAAAATCCCTTGTCTCTGCGTATTCATCTCATATGTACCTCTGGCCAGCACCCCCAAATCTCTGAAACTGAGCCAAAATAAACCTTTTCCTCCCTTAAGCTGTGGGTGTTGGGTACTGTGTCTCAGCACAGAGGAAAGTGACTAAGACAAGGCAGGCCTGGCCTGGTAAGTTCCACAATGCTCGACATTCATGACCTGGGCTACTTCTGTTGTCCAAAATTGAAATCACTAGTTACTAAAAGCCAGCAACAGCAGCTGGTAGTCTATATACTATGTCACTCTCCACTGCCAGTGCTTCCAGGTGAGAGGATGGGGTAGGGCAGGGAGCCAGGGCTCTTAGGCCCTGTTGCTCCAGCTCAGTGGGCTGGCCTATGAAGCTCCCTCCTCAACCTTATCTCTCAATCTGTGAGGAAGTGGCCACTGGAGTTCCAGCAAGAGCTGGACAGGCAGTGCTCACTGGAGTAAGGAGGGGGACATCGGGGAAGAGGACAGGCTGCAAAGACAGACAAAACCTGCAGTTGACAAAGGCTGGCCCCCTAAGGTAGAGTTAGGGATCTGAAGAGCCTGGAATAGAATGGACCAGGCAGAGCTCTGAATAGGGAGTAACACAAGGCAACATGAAAAAGACTACTCTGCCAAGCACAGAAGCTAAGGTGTTCTTTGTGGTCCCCTATATACTAGTCACCATTGAATAAAATACACAAAAAAGTTTTACCAGAGTATAGTGGCACCTACCTATAATCCCTGCATTTGGGTGGCTGAGACAGGAGGACTGCTATGAGTTTGCAGCCAGCCTGGGCCAGTGAATTCAAGAAAAGCCTAAACTACACAGATTCTCAGAAAAAAGAGAAAAAAGAACATATATAATTTCTGCAACATAGGCTAACGGGGCCACAAATACATCCAACAGAAAGATAATACATAAAAAACCTTTATAGCTATAAATGAAAAGACCTGAATTTACAGAGTAAATGCTGTCTTTGCTAATGGATAAACTCAGCCATGTCAGCCCCAAATCTACAAATTCAACATGATCCTATTAAAATCCTATCACTGTGGTACAGTTCAAATTTTTGACAAGCTGATGGCAGAATAATTGCACAACAAATGTGAAATGTTTTTCTGAAGTTTTTAAGTCACACGGTGGGAGAAGCACAGTGTTGACCTGCAAATACCCAAACTAGAAAGCTACAAATGGCTCCCTTTTTCTCTACTACCCGCTGGTCACCATCTGGCATAACCACATATTGTATGTATTTGTTTGTGCCAACTCCACTCCATCCCACCCTTGCCACCCTGTCTTAACCACAAGGAACTATGAACTTCATGAAACGGGAATTTTGTCTCATACAGTGTAACATTCCCCAGTGCCTGACACAAAATAGATGTTTAGTAAACTGTTAGCAAATGAATTCAGGACAGGAAGACCAACTACAATAGCAGTATCAAGTTGGGAAAGATCCTCAGAGATTTAACTAGGGATGAACTGAATTGAGGAATTCAAGAAACTTATTCCTTTCATAGAGTTAAATAAACTCCTTACAAATTTGGGTATAGGTTTGAAGGAATCTCTAAACATAAATAAGGCACCTAAAGTCCCCTATCTGCAAGGCTAGAGCTCAGCATGAGGGAAGAGGGGAGAAGACACCAGAGGGAGAAATTTCAATGTGAAACTCAGTGAACAAACGCGACAAAAATCAATGAAGCTGGCTAGCAATGCACAACCTCATACTGCTGCTCTAGCTGGAAAAAAATTGGTCCTAAGAGTAGTTGCTTGGTTGGCTGTTTTTGAAGCCAAACCAAATAGTGTAATAAAACCCCAGCAGAGACTAAAGTAATTCTAAATTGGCAGTGTCTACAGTCACCTCACAAAAGCAACCAAGTATACGTCGGAGGATTTCCCCTTTATTCCAGGCCCTAATGAAACCTAGTTATGAAGCTGCATGAAAAATGAGCAATTCACAGCATAAAAATTTTAAACACATAAGAGCAAGGGCCACCAGAAATAACATATGGCATAAAACTCCTCCATATAGTGAAATTACAATCCTCCGATACAAAATAAGCATGTCTCATATATTTCCAGAAACAGAAGGACATTTTGAACATACTTAAAAATTTTTAACCCCCCAGAAAAACTTTGTATCACTAAAACTAGTGAATAAGATTACAACAAAATTTACACAGCTGAAGAAAGTATTAGTGATATGGAAGTGAGATCTGAAGATATCCACACTGTATCACAAAGACACAAAGAGGTGAGAAATATAAAAAGTGAGACATGAAGTAGAAGAAGCTACTTGTGTCTAAATGTTTCAGAAGGACAAAAAAGTAAAGGAACAGAAGCAGTATTTAAAGAGTTAAATTGCTAAAAATTTCCAGAACCTCATGAAAAATACAAATAAGCTCAACAAATGCCAACGAAGGTGCACGTACTGCCAAAGTGAGCATAATAAATACCAACTAGGGTAAATAAAAATACACTGCTAAACACAATCCAGTAAAATTACAAAACCACTAAGACAATAAAATCTCAAAAGATTTGGAACGGAGAGGGAAGAAAAAGATAACCTTCAAAGAATATCAATTACACTGCAAGTTGATTTCTGGATGAAGTCAGAAAACACAAATGGTTATCTTGAAAACAGGAGAAAATTATAGTGTTTCCAGTCAAAATATTTTCTAGGAACACAAGTAAAACAAGGCTTAGCAAAGATTTCACAAACAGTATCAACAGTTTCCTATCGAGTTAGAATTTGATGAATTCAATTGTGAGTTTTTTGGTTTGGTTTCTGAGACAAGGTCTCATATTGACCTTGAACTCCTTATATAGCCCATGGTGACCTCAAACATGCAGTGATTCTCCTGCCTCAACCTCCTGAATGCTGGGATTACAGGTGTGCACCACTGTGCACAGCATGAATTAAGTATTATGTAAAACTTACAATCATTAAATGTACAGTAATACTAAATTTCAAGAACAGTAAAGGAAACACTGAACAAAGAGGAGGAAACTCAATCTAAAGAAGGCAGGAAATGAAGGTAAAAGGAATGACGATATAGTGTAATAAAAACTAATAAGAGAACAGAGATAAAGCAACAATAGAACAATAATTACATAAAATTTCAGTAATAAATGCTTTACATAAAAACACTGGAATGAAAGCAGCTGTATGCTGTTTACAAAAATATACTTATATAAACACAATGGACTTCTAAGGCACAAAGTATTACTGGATGTTAACTTTAGAAAATTTTAGAAGTCACTATACAGTAATAAAAAGTAAAACTCATAAAGCTCTAATTCTCTTGTAACCTAATAACATACCAAAATAAACAAAGTAAAATGGACACGATCACAAGAAGTCCATAATCATAATGAAAA